TGTACTGTTATCATCAAAGCTGCAGAAAGCTAGTGAAGCTGACAGCTGGTTTAAAATGTCTTGCTCTATAATATAAACATGTGTCCTTAGCTGTAGCTGTACATAGTTTTTTGGTTTTATTGTGTTGTCACTGGGTGAGTCCTGGGGCCCAGTGTCTGCACCCATACACAACAAAACCTGCAGAAAGAAAAGAAACCCGACCCACCGTCAGCGCACAACTTCACAGAAGGACTGACACCGAAGACAAGAACTCAAATTTCTTTTATTCATACGTGACTTCACCTCAGTGTGAAAAGAACAGGTTGCAGCAAGATGGACTGATTACAGGAGGCTATATCTGTGCTTCAGGAGAACTTTTCCAAACCAAACAAAGTCTCAGTGGAGTACAGTACAGTGCAGCAGGTGATGTGAGTTCCTTCATAATTCCCCATAGACAAGTCCAGACATCCAGTCAACCACAGGCTCATTCCAGCCTCACTAAGCTGTGCCGTGTCAGCAAAAAAACCAACTCATTATTCTGAAAAATTCAGCCGCAAAATGTCAAAATTTACATTTCATGTCAAACATTTGGGTTGTTTTTGCCCCCTTAAAAGTAAAGTATGGGGGCGAGTTCTGGAAGAATGCTCTTGGGGTGTTGCACAGTGGCTAAAGTGGCTCTCGCTTATAGCAAGAAAAGTTTGATCCTCATCCTTTTTGGTGTTTGCATGTCAGCCCATATGTGTGTGGGTTTTCTAATTCAGTTTCCTTCCACAGTTCAAACACATAGAGGATTAGGTTCACTGTATACTGTGAGCCCTAATCATAACATAAATGATCTGTAGGTGTGAATGTTAGTGAATAAGACAGGGGGTCCTCGACTTACGTCAGAGTTCCGTTCCTACGGTGCAACGTAAGTCGATTTGACCCATGTCACTCACCTACCCTGACACATCATAATCTAGGACATAAAACATATCAGAGGAGTCTGATTTAGCTCAATCCAATGTACGGTGCATAACTGCCATTCTTATAATGGGAAATGGCAACATAACCACAAAATAGGTTGAGGACATCATAAACCGTGGACCTCCTGTATGTGGCTCTTTAACGGATTGGCAAACTGTCCAGGCTATAACCTGTCGTCACCTGATGACTAGGAACAGAAGAAAATAATGATACATTTGTTGTGGGTCATACAAATAATAGGCCATGTTCTTTAGCACAGGCACTGCCTGATAGTTTTCCTTTCACTTTTAAGTCATTTGGACAATAAAGCCCCTAGGTGGCAGTAAAGCAAGTTCAAAGTTGTAGGGCTGTTAAACCACAATGAAGAAGAAGCATTGTTGGGGCTGTTTGGGACATTTGATAAAATGATTAAGTTCCAAAACACACATCAACCTACATGTGTTGTAAAACACTATTATGGCTTGAAGATAAAATGTGCATTTGGAGTAAAGTTTGAAACTTGTAGTTTATGCTTTAATAAATGGTATTTCATAGTTTAAAAGTATAAAGGATGGTGTATTTTACATTTTTAAAAGTTGGAACTTTTCACTACATTTAACCAACCAGCCATAACCACAATGGTCCCATAATTGATAAATCAATGGTTCTTCTTATTTTCCCCTTAATTTATTAGTGATTATGCCATTGTAGATGTGCAAGGAACTTCTCACCAGGGAAATTACCAACAGGGACAAAAAGATCTACAAAATTACACTCATGCAAATCAGAGGAGGGACAGAGGAAATGTTGGGGGGCTGAGAGGGGCAGGGTCCGGGTTAACCTTACTAAAAGATGCCCCAGAAGAGTCATGAAAATGTTTAACATAATTTATGAGAATATGAATATTTTGATAAGGAGCAGAACAGAACAGGACAGGAAACGCATTATTTTCGTTGCAAAACACAACCGTGCAGTTGCATGAAACCGGGTTAGCAACTCCAGCACTGATGCTTAAATGTCAGAATAACATTTCTAAGATAACTTAATACTAACATAGAAAAAAAATAGTATTTCAATAATCAGGATGAGTTAATCACAGTAAAGTAGTGCAGATGACGACTTGGACAGCAAGAAAATTGGAAATGCAAACAAAGGCTACTGAAATGACAAGAAGGCAGGGAACAGAGGGGGAGAAAAAACAACAAACCAAAAAAAAAAAACACATGCTGTTGTATTGTGTAAAACTGTTTCATATTAAGGCGTAATGTAACACCTGGGTCCTCTCACTGTTGGAGGTGTACAGCCCTACAGTGCTAGTGGTAGTTTTATAAGCAAGGGGCTGAAAATGTTTGCGACTTTTAGAGAAGTTTTTGCATTATTTCAGTCATCTCTAAACCCCCTCCACATTACTTTCTTTTCTTCACAGATCATAAAATATATATTAAAATTTCATTTATTTACCTCTTTGCTGTGATTTGATGTTTGGGATCAGCAGCAGCAGCAGCAGGATGGAGGTGCAGCTCCACGAGCTCAGTGTCCACCACCTGTCGCGTCCACGCATCCTGACTGAAGAAGTTTCTTTTACGATATTTTGGTAACTGGGAGAAGTGTAGGTGGAATCCTGTCCGACGTTTAAAGCAGGAGTTTCATGGCCAGCAGTTCATGCACTGAGGGAAACCCGTGCTCACCGGCCGCCTGTCCACCTGCGTGACGGATTGTCTGCGTTCAGACGCACGGCAGACTGTGAGGAGTGGAGCGTTGTTAAGTTAGAGACTGGTGGCAAACGTTAGTTCCCGGAATTTGGCTTTTCAAAATTAAAGCACGACGAGTCACGGGTTTTCTAAACTGAAAACTGGATTAGTCAAAAGATACTACAGCACTACATAATCCAACACGTTGAGAAAAGGATTAGGAGTAATACTTTGAATTCAGTTTAAATTTCTAAAATATTTAATAAAAAGGTTTAGGAGTTCTACCTGTGAAACTTTCCCCAAAAATGTTACGTTGCTAAGACGCTATTCCTGCTAATATTCTTTTGTTCAAAAGTGTAATTTGGTTGTAACAGGAAGATATATCTACACAATTGACTCTTCTGGGGATTTTATGGAGAAGTCTAAAGTGTAACCAGTGCAGTGAGTTACATCTGCATGGATATGTTTTCTATGTAGATTTGAGTCTCTGCTCAGACACGTTGGCCACACTGACACCT